AAATATAGCATTCAGGGGAAATTTGTAATTTCTCAAATCTTAGCGAATATCTATAATTTAGCCAAACCTCGAGGGGTATATGTAATTTGCCCTTAACTATATATATAATTTATTGCATTACATATATACAAGGTCTTGTATTAATTTACGAATAATTAATTAATTTCTTTTATTCTTAATTTACGAATAATTACTCAAATGTTATATAAACCGAACTGAAATCCCCTCTGTACTAATTTAATAATTAATTATTAAGAAAAAAAAATCGTTAGTCAAACTAACGGAATGAAGCAATCTACAAATTAAAAGTAAATATCAAAATGGAGTAATATGCAAATTAAAAGTAAATATCAAGAGGAGCTAGTGTAATTTAAAATTAAAATATGTACACAGGCCAATTGTGAGAAACACTATATTACACTAGTGTAATTTAAAATTAATCTAATTTTTTTTTTGATTCAGGAAATGGATATGTAGATAGGCTATTCTAACATATCCGTCAGGAAATATTACCTCTTAACATCTACAACATATCTACAGGGAACCCCACTGTCTCTCGCGTGTTCCAGACGTTAAGGAGTATGTTTAACCCCAATAAGAGGCTATGAATAGTCGAATCCAAGCTTTGAGTGAGAGATTCGAAAATTTTATCCACGGAACCAATCCCTATTTGTAAATTAATTTAATTGTGAAAACGCCAAGAGAGGTGAGAATATAAGATTATGCGAATTCCATGTACACAGGCCTATTCCAAGAAATGGCTTTTTTATTTTTATTTTACTTATTAACTTTTTTTTAATATATATATAATAAAATAATATAACCTAAATAAATTAATAAATTAAGTTAATTTTTTTTTTTAACTTACCAAAATACAGCCTAAATAAGGAAAGCGTAACAGAGCAAGAGGCTTCAGATGGACATATCGATTTGGGTTAAAATAGTTTATAAAATAAATTATTTTATTAAAATAATACATTTAAATTATAATTATTTTATTTTTTTATAAAAAAAAAAAAAACTAAAAATTTATCTTAAATAAAGATTTTTTAATTTTAAATTAAAATAATTAAAAAATTAAAAAACCAAACAATCAATCCAGATTGCAAACGATGGTTTGAAGGCTTGGAGAAACATCTCTTTCTCTCTCTCTCTCTCTCTCTCTCGCTCACAGAGAGGTCGACGACGACTGATATGATGATATATATACCACGCGGAAGAGAAGAGAAGTGTGCGAGGAGATTTGGAGCCTCTCACCATATCAGGCTCTAAGATCTCATACTCAATCACCCAAGTCACATCTTGCCCCCATCTATATATACTCCTGTACACTCTCACCATCACAATCTCCTGCTACGCCATCTTTTAAATCATCCCAATCATTACCATCCGGATTTTTTTATTAAAAACATTACACATCAGTGATTTTTTTATATAATATTTATAAATTAATAAAAAATAGTAATAAATTTAATTATTAATGTTTAAAATAAATTATAAATATATTTTTTGACATTTGTTTAAAATATTAATTATCCTTTATGATTTAAAAAATTACAAATATCTCATTATTAGTTTTTTTTATTTAACAAAATTAATTAAAAAATATAATTCTTAATTATTCCTCTATATAATAATAAAATTACTTGAATTATTAATTAAAATAAATTTCTAAAATAATTAGAAACTGTTAATTAACTTGATAATTTATTAATAAAAGAGACTGTTGTTATAAAATTATAAATTTCAAAGGATATGATGTAATTTCTAAAATCACAAGAGACAATTCATATTTGAAGCAAACTTGTAATTTTTCAAATTTTATCATTGATTTGGATTAAAAAAAAAAATAGACTGGCTTGTAATTTTTCATTTTTTTTATCACTCTATGTATTTTATTTTAATTACATATATGTAGAAAATGTTTGAGATTTTTAAAAAAAAAATTCTTAATTTATTATGAAATGATAAATATAAACTTTTGATTTATTATTTTCAATCTAACATTTTTCTATCAGCATAATAAAACGCATGAATACAACATCTATTTATTTATTTAATTAATTAAAATCCATCATTTTCTATAGAATATATGGTTTATAATTGGCAATTAAGAAAAAAGTCACTTTATTATTGACTTATTTGAGTAATCACCTCTCTATTTTTTTTACATATTTTTTTATAAAAAATTAAAATTTTAATTTTTTTCTTACTTCTCAAAATAGGCCATAAAACATTACATAAATGCTATGAATCATGAAAAAAATTTAATGAAGATAATCATGAAAGATTCTCTATTTTTAAATTACACCTATAATAAAGCACTACATACTAATTAAATGATAAAAAAAACTTTATAATATATTTAATAATATTTTTTTCATAATCTCTAACATTATTCTAAATAAAAAGGAGAAAAATAACTCTATCCCAAATAATCACAAATAAGGGTTGTTTTGGGAAGTTGGTAAAAAGCTGGCTTTTGGCTTTTTACCAAGATTTTTGGCTTTTTTGGAAGTGATTTGGGAAGTTGGTAAAAAGCTGGCTTTTTGCTTTTTAGTTTAATATTTATTTATGGTGTCAAATCAAATTAAAATGACCAAAATACCCTTACTCAACATAAGAGAGTTATTTTTTTATTTATTTTTTATAGGCCTTAATTTGTAATTTTAAGGCTGCGTTTTTAGCACTTGCCAAATGACTTTTTTGGCATTTTTGGCAGCCACTTGTCCAAAAACGTGACTTTTTACCATGTTCCCAAAATGGCACTAAGTGAAAGTCTTTTGTAAAATTATAAATCTACCATTTTCCATCTCCTTTCTCATTTCTCTTCCCTCCCTGCAAAACTGGCATTCATCCACCTCAATCCCCATTCTCTCTAGGCTCGCTGTCCCCTGTCCCACCCTTCTTTGGTGCTGTTTGGTATAACTGTTAAAACAGATTATAAATTATAATTTAACAGATTATAGATTATGACTTTAATCAGAAGTTATTAATCTGTTTGGTATAGCTGTTGGATTATAGATTTAAGTTGCTGAGTAGTGTTTGTTAAATAAGCTGTGAAGTAGCTTTTTCAATTAATTTTTATTTTTTATTATTCACTATTTGTCTACATTTTTCATAAAAAATAATAATAATATTTTATAGTCCATTTGAATTTTTTTCTATTTTTAAAAAAATAAAAAATAAAAATATCTAAGAGTATAACTGTGAATTAACATGTCCACAGCAGAAGCTGATAATCAGAAGCAAGGGGTGAGCAGCTTCTCAGAATCAGCTTTTTTTACTTAAAATAAATTCTTAGAATCAGAAGCTGTTTGAAATAAGTGTAACCAAACAGTCCAAAATAACTTTTTAAAAGCCAGAAGCCATAAGCTGGCTCAAAAAAGCCCCACCAAACACCCCCTTTGATAAGTTGTTTTGGGAAGATGAAAATAAACAAATTTTTTACTTATTTCTTTACAGGTTTTTCGACTTTTTTAAAACAAATTATTATAATATAGTATCACATCATTTATAAAATTATAAAATTTTGGTGTTACCCTCGTGTTTTTTTTGTAAAATTACCATTTGACCCTAATTAAAAACCATATATGCGATGATATTTGGCGTAATATGAAATGTAAAATAGTAATAATCTTAAAATTTATTGATTCAAAATAAAAATATCTAAAGTAAAATTCTTCTCTAAACTCATTGATTCACAAAGAATATTGAGGGGTTGTTTGGGATGACCTAAATAAGTGTACTTTTTGCCTTTTTACGAAAACATATGCAGAAAAATAGAGAAATGATGTGATGAAAAAAAGATAAAAAGATAAAAAATGTGTACTTATTTAGAAATAGCCAAACTTGACCTGAGTAAACACTCAACAATAGTTGATTTACAAAGAATACTAAAAGTTGAAACGAAAGAGTATGGAACTTGAAATATATTCATTCTCAAAAACTACAGAACCCTAAGTTTTACATCTATTATTTATAAGCAAAAACAAGCCTAACTTAAATAGGAAACAATCAGAATTAACAAATTCGTAATGAGTAATACAGAAATAAGAAAATATAACAAAATTACCAAAAATAAAAATATTGTAATAAAGTAAAGAAACTACTAATATATGCTTTCACAATCATGGCAAGTTTCACAAAATCAAATTTCTAGATCTGTATTAGAAGTAATTAAAATTTCAAATCTTTCAAAAAATGGCAAATTTGCAAAATTAATCACCTAAATGATGAAATTTGTCCAAAATCCACTAGGGTCCTTGCCATGGTCATGCTTAAAATCACGTTTGCTATTGACCCACATAATTTCACGTGATTCCGAATACGTTCCGTTTTTTACCTTTGTCTTGCCTATCCTTTTGATTCAAAAATTGTAAAGCCATGCCTGCTACATTAATATTTTAATAATTTCACTTGTTGATTTATATTTAACTTTTCAAATGAATTTTTGCTCATATAAACAGACTTTTGTTTTTTTTTTACATTTCACTTGTATTTTATTCATCATTTTTCATTCTTTCACTACAGGAAAATGGGGTTATAACGGTGTTCACACAACGGCGTTCTGTAAAACGCCACTTTTTGCTTCACCGTTTTAGTTATAAAAAAAAAAGAAGACCACTGTTCTCACTCTCACATAGCTCTTCTCAGATTTCACTCTCTCACTCAGCTCTTCTCACTCTCAAACCTCTCTCTCGCGATCGAAGATGTCATTCTCTTACACAAACCGCTCTTTAGCCGGTTCTTCATCGATCTTGAGGTTAATCGAACTCGAACTCGATTTCTTTCACTATTAGCTTCTATCTTGAGTTTGCAAATCACAAATCCGAAATCGATATCATAGATTAGATCAGATCAGATCAGATCATATCGCAAATCCGTTAATCGGTGTACGAGTTTCATTCTCAGATCAAATCAGTGTTAATCAGTGTTCTTCATCACTTTCATCGATCTATCTTGGTCTTTATCTCAGGTACAATTTTCAGAAAATTTAATAAATTCATGTATTGTTTCAATTTTTTTTTTTCTTTCTATGATTGATCTTTAGATTTTGGTAAATTTGATTGTGTATTGTATAGTGGGTTTTGTTAATCGGATATTAACAATTTCAGGTTATATTCATACTACATTTTTTGTCTTTTTTTTTCTTTTCCATGTTCACTGTTTGGATGTTGAGAAAATTGAGAAATGAGAAAATAAAATAAAACACTGATTTGTACTTTTCTTTGCTGCTTTAATTACCTATATATTAGGTTAAGTTTGAGAGAGACTTTGTGTTCTTTTCAGGTCACCGTGATGAAAACTCTGAACTATCTACACATTTTTGTGATCTTTTATGTTTTTGTTGCACAGGGGCTTTCAAAATACAATTGAATTTGACTAACTATTATGTTCCTGTATTTAGTTTTTGGTGTATTTGTTTATGTGAGTATGTAACTGTGTGTATGTTTGAGCTGAAAATTTTAAATAATTGTCACAATGGTAATTGTGTATGAAGCTTGTTTGAGCAAAAATATATTTTGCAGTAGTTTAAGTGGTGCACCTTTTTTTCTTTTTTTTTTTATGAGTAATGGTGTTTGTTCACAGTAGGCGCAATAGGTATACTGCTCACACTGTATTGCAGCTGTTAAGAAAGCTAACCACATTTTTTTTACGTCTTCTGTTTGATAGATTAGTCCATCTCAGAGAATTCTGTTATTTTGCTCTGTTCAATGGAAAGAAAATGGATTTTTTTTTTGGAAATTGAGGGTCTTGTCTTGCCTGAATAGTTTAACTATCAATGCACTGCATAATTTGAAGGATATGGCATTTGTTGAGTTTTGCAATTTTTCTCTGGGAATATCAAGTTAGTTTGTTCCCCATCAAAATATATGTTTTATATATTTATTATATGTTGAATGTATTATTAATGTTTCATTTAAAATTGATACACATATTCAAAATAACATGAATTCTTCAAGTTTATGGGATGATGAGATAATAGGGTATGATAAAAGTCATGTTAGAAAATCTGAAAGTAACTTTTGAAATGAAAAATGATGGAAAAACAATAATGTAATTATTTGATTCTAAAAGAGTATTTTCTCAAGGGTATTTTGTGAATCCAATGAGAGCAGTGGTATATGATCCGAATGATTTCTCTGAATTTTTCATTCGACACTACATGACATTCCTATTAAATACTTGCCATCAACTACAATTATGGAATTTTTTGCTTTGTGATCAATCATGATAATCTGGTTGTTCTTGTAGAATCTTTATTAGAGATACTTAGTTATCTTTGATGAAGCTCTATATCATAATCTATCAAGAGCATTGTAGGAACTTTTAGTTTCTTCATTAATATGCTTCATGCTAGAAATGCTTCTAGCATGCTTGATAATTTTGATTCAGATTGCACCACCGGGATGCAAAAATCATGACAATTGTTTATTTAGTAAGTAATTATCCATGAATGCATAAATGGCCTTAGACCCGTCCATAAATCTTCATTAGAGATATCTAGTTATCTTTGATGAGGCTCTTCTTGGATTGTCCAGTTTGGACAATTTAGGAGCACACGTCTATGTTGTAATTAGTAGTTCTACCACTTAAATGTAGTCTATCTCGTATAGATTTCGTATAGTAGCTCCTCATGTGCTTCGGGTGCATAGTAATACATCCAGTCTATGTCATGTACTTGGAGAACCATGGGGAGATGTTGCCGAAGTTTGGTTAGAGATGGATAGAGTGGTATGAGCTACTTTTTACAAGATAAACTGTGCATTCCTAAATGGGAAAGTAGGATGAACCAACCTATTAGAGAAGAGTTAGAGGTGAATGGTGTCATGTCACATGCATTTTAAGGTACTTAATTAAGGTTAAGAATAATTAAAATGAAATGATAATTTTGAACTTTGTTGATTAGGCAGTGACAATTGTATTGTAAGACGAAGTCAGATGGATAAAAATTAGATAAATCAACATAGGTTGCATCTAGAATATATAAAAGGGGTTAAGGAATTCGTTAAACTTGTATGCCAAAATAATCCTTTATCAAATGAAGTCACATGCCCATGTAAATGGTGTTGGAATGTCAAACTAGTAAAGAAAGACCTTTTAAGGGAACATTTAATGGTCAATGGGTTTCTTCCAAGCTACACCAGATGGATTTTTCACGGGGAAGATTTACTGGTGTCTGTGCCATTCAATGAGAATATCAGTGATTCGAATGATGGCGATGAAGTCATTGAAATAATATATAAGGGGTTCGGACTTCCTCCACCAAGCTTGGTTCATCTTGCTAGTAATGAGACAAGAAGTTCTAATATCGAACTAGGCCCAAATAAGAAAACTGAAAAAAAATTTATTGAAGGAGGCCGAAAGAGAGTTGCATCCAGAGTGTCACAAGTTTTCAACGCTCTCATTTGTTGTTCGCTTATTGCATATCAAGTGCCTTAGTGGATGTAGCGACAAGTCTTTTACAATGTTGTTTAAACTTTTGAAGGATGCATTCTCAAAAGGTGAAACTTTGCCAAAGTCATTCTATGCAACGAGGGTACTCCTTAGGGAATTGGGCCTCGATTATCACAATGTACATGCATGCCCAAGAGATTGCTCACTGTATTGAAAGGAGACAGCTAGTAAGGATGATTGCATAGTGTGTCAGATGCCTAGATACAAATAGTTTGAGGGTGAGAAAAATAATTATAAAAAAAAAAAAAGCAACAAAGAATTCTCTAGAAGATTGTGAGATACTTTCCTGTAATTCCAAGGCTTCAAAGATTGTTCATGTCATCCAAAACTACTTCATTAATGAGATGGCGTGCAGAGGGCTGAATTGATGACGGCAGAATGAGACATCCTGCTGACTCTCCGGTCTGGAAAAATTTTGATACTTTGTATCCCAAGTTTGTGAGTGAGCCTCGCAATGTTAGACTAAGTTTAGCAACGGATGAATTTAATCCATTCAAGGCAATGAATGTTGCTCACAACAATTGGCTAGTTATTGAGATGCCTTATAATTTGCCACCGTTGTTGGGTATGAAGCAACCTCATATGATGATGATATTGCTCATTAATGGTCTTTCTTCACCTAGAAATAACATTGATGTCTACTTGGGCTTGATAGTGGATGAACTGAATGAATTGTGAAAAAATGGTGTTTAGACGTACGATGCAGAAACTAATCAAATGTTCCAATTGCACGCAATCTTACTGTGGACAATAAATGATTTTCTTACATATGCAAATTTTTCTGGATGGAGCACGAACGGCACTTTCGCTTGTCCTTGTTGTAACATACGTACTCGACATCGGTATTTGAAGAATGGAAGGAAAATTTGTTACATGGGGCATCACCACTGGTTGAATGCGAGTCATAAATTTTGAAAAGATGGTGCATCTTTTGATGGAACTTCTGAATTGAACCATGTCCAACTCAGTTATCAAGGGCTAATGTGTTACGACAGTTAGGGCTTAAGCATCAACCAATTAACAGACAAAAAAAAACTAGGAAATAAAAGGATAAAGAGGACGATGAGGAGAATCATGATTGGAGGAAAAGGAGTACTTTCTTTGAGCTTCCATATTGGGAGCATAATTTGATTTGCCATAATCTTAATGAAATGCACATTGAGAAGAACGTGTGTGATAATATATTGTGGACGATATTAAATATTGAAGGGAAAGGAAAGGACAATTTAAGACTTGCAAGATATGGGAATTCGAAAGGCACTACATCCTAAAAAAGGGGTTAGGAACCGGTATTATTTGCCGCATGCATGTTTCGCTACGAATAATAGAGAGAGAGGTTTGTTTTGTACACTCCTGAAGAATATCAAAGTTCTAGATGGGTATGCATCCAATATTTCTCGTCGTGTTAACTTAAACAACATAGCATATTTGGATTGAAAAGTCATGACAACCATATGTTGATGCAACAAATACTTCCAATAGTAGTGAGAAATTTGTTGTCGAAGAAAGTGGTTGAACCATTGATTGAGTTAAACAATTTCTTCAGGCAATTGTGCTCCAAAACTCTAGAGCCAGATAGGTTAAATCGTCTTTAATCCCAAAGTGCTCTTACACTTTGCCATCTTGAGAGAATTTTTCCTCCATCCTTTTTCGATATAATGGAGCACTTGCCCATTCACCTAGCAGAGGAGGCCAAGATTGCCGGTTCAGTGCAATATTGTTGGATGTACTTTATAGAAAGGTGTACAATTCTACTCCATTTTGCATTTGTATTCATTTGTTTGTTTATAATTGAAAGTCATGCGTGCATTTGTTTGTTTATAGTTATCTTATGACACTTAAATCATATATGCGTAATCGAAGTCATCCAAAAGGTTCAATTGCAGAGGGATACTTAGTTGAAGAGTGTATGACCTTTTGCTCAAGGTACTTAGATGATGTCGAGTCAAAATTGAATCAACCGATAAGGAATTACGATGTTAGCAACAATCCTAGGATATTACTGGGTCATGCTTTAGGAAAAGGAAAAGGGCTTGTGCTTGATAACACATCATGGGTACAAGCTCATCGATGTGTGTTATTTAACACTGCAGCGGTTGTCCCATATCGAGAGTAAGTTACACATCTTTGTTCCAAAATTTTATTGATCCATTAATCAGTATCTTGCATTTTATAAGTACTTTAAATGTGTAGGGAGCATTGTGATTTTATTAAGCGGTTACATTGTCATCTCAAAGATTTTGATGTGGATCGCCGTCACAATGATGAGTTTCCCATATGGTTCAATTCTCATGTAAGTGCTAATAACTTACATGTTTCCAATTTTCAATTCTCATGTTTTTGATTTTTAATTCTCTGTTAGTTGATGTTTAATACTGTTAACTTTGTAAAAATAGGTTAAAGAGCTTCTAGCTATTGAAAATGCTGTGTTGTCAGTTGAGATTAAAACTTTGGCATTGGGACCTAGCAAAAAGGCCACGAGATTTAGTGGGTATATAATTAATGGTACTAGATATCATACGAGGAGTCGTGAGTAGAGAAGAAAAACTCAAAATAGTAGGGTTATGGTGAAAACAAAGACTTGTAGCTATGCATGTACTAAAGACATGAATCCTGTGAAAGGTGAAGTAGCATACTATGGATATGTGGCAGATATTATTGAATTGTAATACTCATATGACCATAGATATGTGTTATTCTTGTGTGACTGGATTGACAACAACAAAGGACTGAAGCAGGATGGTTTTGGTTTCACACTTGTTAATTTCAATCATTTGTTATATACAAAGAAACAAAATAGCGATGAGTCATTCATCCTAGCATCTCAGGCACAACAAGTCTTCTATGTTAATGATCCCGTTCGAGCTGATTAGGATGTTGTAGTCAAGATGAAACCTAGAGACTTGTATGAGATGTGTGGAGAACAACCAACTAATGATGGAGTACATCACAATGAAGTGAAAGGATTTGGCGACCAAGAGTTAGATGCAATTTCGTTTGCTTGTGAAGAAGACGTAAATTGGGTTAGGCAAAGTGAATTTGGAACAATTATTGATGAAACTATTGGACCTCTTGGGATATCGACACAGACACAAACACAATCCAAAGATGACGAAGAAATGATATGATATTATAATTTTGTGTCATATTCACTTTTACATTTGTGCTTTCAGTATAGATATTCATGTTAATGAAATCTTTGTTTTTATAATGTGTCATTTGTTTGCTTTGTTAATAAAATCTTTGTTTTTGTATTTACTATTGTATGTATTGTACTTTATATTTATTGTTAACCCATAAAATTCTACACTTGTGGTCTTCTATAAACTAGCATGACAGATCAATGATGCTCTAGGCAGAGGCAACATTCAGCCTCTGCAAATTTTGAGAGTTCTTATAGTGGGAGTTCAGATGAGAGTTCTTATAGTGGAAGTTCAGATAAAAGTTTAGAGGAGAGTACACGCATCATACCTGATCCAACCATGTCATGGTATCCTCCAGGTAGCTTGCCTAGTACTGGTTCAACACATGACATTGCAGCTGGTATGAATTATTTTATTCAATTGCATTAATTCCATTAGATTTCTCTGTTTATGCTCTTTTTTCTTTTAATGTTTTATCATTCTCTCTAGTATCTTCTAACTTGATATTGATATTTGGATGAGTAGGTCATAGTTCAAGAAGCCCGACAGTCTTGCATGGTAGTGATTGGAACCCAAGTGATGGCATTTTACATATTGTGCCTAATGAGTTGAACCAAGTGGTTGACGGGCATACACATTTGGCTTCTTGTTTGGGTGTTTTAGCTCGAGATGGGAACCTTACGCCCTTTACTTAGAGAACTTGAAGCCATGTACTAAAGGAAAATAAAGAGAGAATTTGGAGAGAAGTTAAGGTAAAAGGATACTTGTTACTGTTGTTTTGTTGTTCTGTCAACCTCTTTTTCAATAGTGGTCTTCCCTTTACTGGTTGATGTTGTGTGCTACTGTTGTGTGCTTCTTGTTGTTGTTGTTGTTGTTGTTGTTGTTGTTGTTGTTGCTATGTGCTACTGTTGTGTGCTTGTTGTTGCTGTTGTTACTGTGTGCTATTGATGTGTGCTTGCTGTTGCTGTTGTTGTTGTTGTGTGCTACTGCTGTTGTTACTGTTTATTTCTCAATATTATTATGTAATGTAAATTACTATGAGCTTCCTTTCTCAATATGTAATGTAAATTACTATGAGCTTTCTTTCTCAATATTTTGGAAAAGTAAAACCATCTGTCACCTTCTTTACTGCCCATTTTATCACATAAATTAAAGATTTGTATTAGCTTGTGATTCTTGCTTAGCATTTCATTGCTTTTCAAGTATATGTATCATTCTACTTGGTAGCTGCTAATATCACTCATTACCAAGTTTGCTAGAAACTGTCATGACTATTGCTGCTGTCACAAGTAGATCTCCAACCCATTTGAAAAGTGTTCTTAAGTATAGATTTTATGATGACTGAGAGTTACAGTCAGTTAAGTGCAAGTGATTCAGTCTGCCAAGTGTTTGAGAGAGAGAGAGAGAGAGAGAGAGAGATGAGGTATATGATGTTTAATTTTAATATGAAAGTTGTTGGATGACATTGAAAAATTATGTCAAGTTCAAGAGATAAAATTTAGTTTACTGTATTTGTTTTGGCATCTGTTGCAAGTTAATACAAATGTTGATGAGTCGATGAAGAAATTTGTTTTGGCATCTGTTGGAAAAAAATGGAGAGTGGAAGGCCAAAGTTAAAAAAAAAATGGGGTATATGTCATTCGACAATGATGGGTTAACTCATTGACCCGAAAGAGTACATGAGCATCAATGACGAAGCTAGTCTATTATTAGGGCACTCAGAAGGCACAAGTATCATTTAATGTTGCTAGTTTAATTGGCGGCGGCTGCTATTAGAGATACTTTTACATGGGTTTATTGAACTCTATTGTAATCTCATAATATGAGTTTGTTAATTAATAAATTATCTTGTGTTTGTGTTCATATGTAATAGAAAAAAAGTAGAAAAAACAAAGAAATTCGAAAGAAGAAGAAATTAAATCACATAACGGGTAGAAAATTATTCTCAGTTGTTCGAGTAGAGGTATATAGTTTCTTTATATTTCAAATTGAAATTGTATATTTTGATTTTGTTACTTAATTTTAGTTGTAATTATAGGAAACAAATAAGAAGAATGAAGTTCCTGCAACTTGCTTAGAGGTGTGGATGGCTGGGTACTCAAAGGATAACAAACCAAGTACTGATAAAGTTGCTAAGGTCATGGTATATAGCTTGGTTGCTTCTCTCTGTCTCTCTCGCTCTTACAGTTATGGCTCATCATCAAATACTTTGCAGCACCATTATTATATACTTTGTAGCTGCGATTGTTTTCATGATACTCTTATCAATTCTGTTAATATAAGTTTTATTAGTTACTAATTAACTAATTAACAATTGCTGACACAAATGAAGGAGCTTGGGGCGCAATCCAATGCTACATATGAAGATATTATGACAGAAGTTCTAGGGCTTGAGCGACCTGGTCGTGTTCGAACATATGGATTGGGTCATTCTCTAACAGATGTCTTTGGAGGTTGATATAGGCAATCACAAGAATAAACTCATATCATCCAAACGCAAGTCCAAGAGCAACTTAACCAATATGGAGCACAAATGGAGATGCAAATGAAGGAGATGATAGAAGCTATGCTTAATCAACAGAAAGTACAAATGGAGATGCAAAGCATAAACCAATCTTAACAAGCACGGATAGAGCAATTAGAGTCTCAACAGTCCATGGGTGGGCCTGTTGCACCAGCTTCTACACGTGCATTCACAACAGTCCCATGCATACACCTCATCGTTTAATTGCCATTGTTCGTCCGAGGAAGTGAGTAAATCGTTAATTATGAAATTTTCAATATGACATTTTATTCATGTTATTTGTTCTTATCAAATGCAGGTTCACATATCAAAGAAAAGAAAAAAGAAGAAGAATAAGTAGATTGGACAAATTCAATGAAAGAAGGCCGCTAGAGTCTACTGAATTCAAGGTTAGAACTGTCCCTTTTTTGTTTTTATTTTCAATTAACAAGGGATTATTTACTAATATCAAGAGAATTATTTAAATTTGGACAATCAACTATGTAAGAAAGCCCAATAACACATTTCTACAAGTTCAATTCTAACAACTGCATCAATAGAAATGGGAAAATTCTTATATATTCCAACCATTGACTTGTAATGTACAAACAACAAATTTATAATAGCTCTATTATGTTGTTGCATTTGGTACTGAGACAAATGTAAGAATCTCATAGCATTCTCTCTCCTTACTGTGGATTTAGGCTAGATTTTTCTTCATTTCGATTTTCTCTTGTGTTAACTCTTTCTACAGGTGGAGACAGATTGTACCCAGTATGACTCTCAAGAGAATGACAGTGTTGTTGTACACAATGCTAGAAATGCCAACAGTTCTTTCAATCTAGACGATTCCCAAAAGGCAGATGTTCTAAGTTGTTTGGATACAAGAGAATGTCATCATCAGATTTCTGTCAAACTAATTTGGGGTCCTCCTAGGACCAGGAAGACGAAGACAGTTGGTTCATTACTATTTGTTTTATTTAGGATGAAATGCAGAACACTGACTTGTGCTCCAACTAACATTGCAGTGTTGGGAGTCGCGACAAGGCTTATGAGTTTAGTAAGAAAATCATTCCAGTATGATACTTATGGTTTGGGAGATGTAGTTTCATTTTGTAATGGGGAGAAAGCGAAGATCGATGATCATGAAGACCTTATCGATGTTTTTCTTGATTACTGCATCTCTGTTCTTGCTAGTTGTTTTGCTCTAATGTCCGGGTGGAACAATAGTGTGGAGTCAATGATATGTCTGCTTGAAGATGCTGAACTGCTGTACCAATTGTATTTGGAAAAAAAAAGGCGAAAAATTACAAGGATGAGGATGACAATGAGGAGGATGAGGAGAAAGAGATAATTTTGGAATTAGGAAGGTAAATAACAATCAAGATAACGAGGGCGATATCTATGATCAAGATTTGAAAGACACGGATAAAATAAAATAAAAATTTAGAAGAAGACAATTGTCCAAGCATTGAAGGAAAGAAAGAAGAAGAACAAGAAAAAACAGAACAAGATGGAGCCTTGCCAGAGAAAAATTCAATTGAAGTTCGATAACCTTTTGACATTTGATGAGTTTTTCAAGATGAGATATGAATTCATTAGAAAAGCTTTCAAGTGGGTGGCGACTGTATCATGAATAGGACAAAGTTCTCGACATGAATGGGACTTCTTCTGAGCTGTTGGAGCTGTACAAGGTCATTGGATTACTGAATCTCGCTTGGAGCGTAGACATTGTAAGAGAAAACTCAAAGACGTCCAGGTTCTAAAGGTCTAGGACACTATTCCATTGTTTGACATACCAAAACTAGCTAATTGTCTTAACACTGTATTTGGGAATTACACAATCGATTTTATGAACCGATGCAAATGCAAAAGATTCGAAGGGTATGCATGATATGTATCTTCCTTTTTTGACATATATTTTTCCCAATTTTATTGATTTATTTACTTGTACACATGATTTAGAAGCCATAACTATTATTTTTTTTCTTGATTTTCTTTTTTTCTCTATTGGCGCAGGAATTTAGCAATCCCAATGACATGGCCAGTCGACTCAAGTGCTGGTAGGAATACTTTTTTGGCTGATGATGATCATGTGTCGTTCTTAGAAAACGGTGAAGCTTTACTGGGTCTAAATCATGCGCCAGAATCTTTAACTAATAGGTGAGAGAGAAAAAGCGCAACGAAACCAATATATAACTTCTTATAATCTCTTTCCCAAAAAGAGTTAAATTACTTTTGTGTAAATAACTGATTTGATTTTCTTTTACTTGTTTGTTTATTTTGTTTTCAATACAATATATAGAAATCGCGTGAAGTCTAAAACGAAGAATTATGGAAATCACTTTGGAATGAAGAAGAGATGGGACAGAGGAGCACAACAGTAGAGAGTGCAGAACAACATTTGGTTTCATGGAAATATTCGAAGAGCAGGAAATCCACCTACAAACAAAGATTCAAGGCACAGATTACTGTTATACCCTTGTTTGGTGATGCATTTTGGTTTCAAAAAGATTAAAAACATTTTACTGGTTAGACTACATTTATTCAGCTATGGCTAAATTGTTTTAGGTCGTTGTTAGTTAATTGTAATTGGTTTTGTTGTACTTGTTTCTTATACTACTTTTTTGGTCTCCCCTATTGTTTCATGAATGAATGAATGATAGGAGAAAGAATGAATGTTTTTGGAGTACATTTCTTGATACTGAGACAAGCTAAAGCTTGAAGGAACCTCACTAATTTAATAGCTTAGACTCCTCTCATTCATTCTCCTTCAAACTAGAGTATTTTATGACACTACATCATTAATAAATTGCTTCTAGGAGGATTACATGCAGTGTTGGAAACGTTAAAGTGGCATTTTTTTTCAAAAACATCACTAGATGATGTCATGATGACATCACTAGATGATGTCATGATGACATCACACGTTAGTTTGTGACGGAAACAGAAGCGGACGTCAGATTTTGTAGCGATTTAAAAAACGTAGTCTAATAGTTTTAGCAATGGCTTTCAAACGTTGTAAAATTATTGCGGCAGCCATATCAACGACGAAAATTTTAAACGTTACTGTAATATTTTGTTGAGTTTTTCCGGCTTTCCTATAGTTTCTTTTCAAATTATTATTCAAATTCATGATTTAAATACAATTTAACATTATATATATGTATACATATATAACCCATTAAAAATAAGAGAAGTGAAAGTGAGAAATAAAGTACCTAATTGTAATTGAGTAGTAACTAGGTAGAGAGAAACCTGGTCTAATCCCATAGTTATTGCATGATTTTACTGCACGTTTTCACTTTAGAGGGACCGGACTTGCAGGGCCGGCACTGCCCTAAGGCATGTAAGGCTTGTGCCTTAGGCCTCATATTTTGGTCCAAAAATAGGGTTTTAAATTTAAAAAATTATTGCAGGTTCAATTTTTTTTTTTTTATTTTAAGATCAATTTAAAGGGCCTCAAATGTTTTATTGGGTCCATGTATAATTTAACTCATATTTATTTATAAATGTGTTTGGCCCATATGTATTAAAATGAAAATATATAAATAAATAAATAAAAAACAATAGGGCCCCTAAATTTGGTAAAACATATAAACATATATATCATAGGCCCCCTAAGCATCTGTTTGGGAAGTGGGTTAGCTTTTTAGCTTTTTGGATTTTTTGGCTATTTTAGTCTGGGCTTAAAAGCTTGGTTTGGGAAGGTTTTTTGACTTTTTGGTTTTTTTGAGTTTTTTTGTGAGAGAAGAATGTAATGATTATAGGTTGGATGTGATGTTTTATTTGTTATGACTAAAACAGCTTATTTTGTTTTTTGTGGCTAAAATAGCCAAAAAAAGCCCAAACCATGGCTTCCCAAACGAAGCCTAAATTTGGTAAAATATTATAGGCTCAATGTTTTTTTTTTTTTGGTTTTGGGATCAATTTAAAGGGCTTCAAAATATTTTTTTGGGTCCATGTATGATTTACTCCATATTTATTTATAAGTGTAGTTTGGTTCATATTTATTAAAATGAAAATATATATTAAAAAAAAAGTATTTGGGCTCAAGAAAAATAATACATACAATATATGGGCCCTATTTTTTTTTTATTTTTTATTTTTACCTTCTTTATATATATTAGATTTTAGTGAAATAAATAATTTTGCTCAAATTTTTTTACCTAGGTCTATATCAATTTTAATTGAATAATTTTTTCCTAATTTTTTTGTTCTAATTTTGTTTTATTAAATTGTTTTATTTATAATTTTAATGATTATATGTGTAAGTAAATTTTTTTATGGTTACAAACAAATAAAAAAATTGTAACTTATCGTTTTATTCATGAATTTTTTTCAATATAAAAGGGCTCCATTTCTGAAATTCGCCTTAGGCCCCAACGAACTCAGGGCCGGCCCTGCGGACTTGAATTGGGTACTAATAACTGGTAGAAATATAAAGATTGAGTAGGTGTTTGACATCTCTTAAAAAAGATAAAAAGTTAAAAAATTATTGAAAAACTAAAAAAGTTAACACTATTCACATGTTTGGGTGAGAAAAAAAGGCTGAATAGACAGAGGGTAAAAAGATAAAAATACCCTTGGTTTTGTCCTTTTCCAACATTGCATTTTTTGGTAAAAAAAAAAAAGTGCAGCACAATGCACTGATGCGGGAATTCACTGACATGCACGAAAAACATGTCAGTGCTGAGAAGTGTAGGAAGGTAATTTTGCTAGTTGATACAATATTTTAATGCACATTTTTTTTTTGTAAAAAAGTCAAAAGCTGTCCAAAACATACATCTTTTTTTTCTCTATTTTTTTTAGTCAAAAAGTCAAAAAGTGATATAGTTCATCCCAAACAACCCCTCAATATTACATATTTGGGCTGTGTTTGGGAAGGAAATTTTTTGGTTTTTGTTTTTTGTTTTTTTTCACTAAAAGACAAAGTGGTTACAAAATCAAAAAAAATAAATCCAAACAAAATATCACATCAAACTCCATAATCATTTCACTTTTGCTCTCACAAACATCACACCCAATCACAAAAAAATTCAACTATCTTCCCAAACACAAAAAAAAAAAATTCTCCAATAATATCCTACAACTAAAAAAATCCACTTCCTAACCACCCACTTATAATAGCTAGGTTCCGTTAAAGTATCAATATTAAACCAGTTAAAATTTTATTATATTTTCATTTAAAAATTACTTTTTTTATTATGATTTTATATCCGTTTTATATTTTTCAACAAACTTTTTATTACTTTCTATACTATTTAAATATTATTTTATTCATTTTAATTTGAAATTATTTGTTAAAACTCAACACAGTTATTTCAAAAATATAAAAAATAATACTGTATGGTAAACTACTATTACATAGGTTAAGTTAAAATTATTAAAACTAAAATAATTAACTTGATAGCTAATTTGATAGAGGTGAAATTTAGTGATTTATTCATTATTTTAGCTAAAAAATAAAAATAATTATTTTGATAGAAATGCTCTATGGTAATTTTTTTAATTTAAAATAATTATAAATTTATATTTTTATTTCATAACCATTAGATATAAAATAAAAATATTTCAATACAAACATATAGTGGACATGGTCAAAGTCCGAAATTATAGGCGTACTAATGAACTAGAATGGAAACTGTGTACTAGCAAATATTCGACTATGAGTCTGAGTGTCACATCTAACTCATAATATAAAGTTAAAAATAAAAAATTAAATTAAAATAACTTATTAAAATATAAAATAAGTTAAAATGTGACATTTAACTCATAATCATCAATCAACTATAATAAAAAATTAATTAACTTTTCAAACACAATCATTTTAGATAAGTTAAAATAGCTAAAAAGTTAAATAATCAACTAAAATAGTTAACTTCCTAAGCAAGGCCAGTAATAAATGCATTGTTTGACTAGAGGCTATTCAGTTATAATGCTCAATAAAAACAAAATAAATTAAAATAGTTAATAATACAAAATATCACATTTAATCCATAATTATTATTATTATCTTTTTTACCATCACCAAATCAATTATTATTCCAAACATAATTTTTTTTGGCCAAACTTAAAATAATAAAAAAAAGACAAATTATACAAATAGTTCCTATAGTTTGGAACTTGTGTCACTTTGATCACTGACTTTTCAATTGTGACACATTTGACTCTGAATTTTGAATCTTGTTCCAAATAAGGACAATTGAATATATAATTAGATTTTTCAAGGGTAAATAATAAATCAAAATAACTTATTTGTAAACAAGGACTACTAATAATATTGTACTACAGAAAGACTGAAATATATAGCAAAATCATTTGCACCCAAAAATAAAATATATATGGAAAATTGGGTCAAAATTTTTAAACAACTCCGCTACGTAGCTCGAATTACCAACTGCTTGAATCGTCCGAAATCCCAAAACGACGTCGTTTTGGGATTTTTTTTTTTTTCCTTTTTTCCTCGTTTGTTTGAAGAAGAAGAAGATGATGAGAGAAGAAGAAGAAGATCCATCAGATCTAGATCTACTAGGAAAAAAAAAAAAATCAACAACAACATCACCATCATCAACACAGAACTACAGAGAAAAAAAAAAAAAAAAAAAAAAAAAAAAAAAACATCTTCATCAACATCACCATCATCAACACAGAGCCAGAAAAAAAAGAAAAAAAAAGAAAAAAACAAGAAAAAAAAGAGAGAAATATTGAGATCTAGGCGGTGCTCCATCAGATCTGGTCGGTCACCGTCGCACCCACCCTCCATCACCGTCCACCGTCGCACCCTTCATCACCGTCGGCTTGCCCCGCTATCGCCGTCGCCTCTCTCTCTGTTTCCGTCTCTCTTCTCTCCTCCTCTCTCTTTCTCCCCCTCTCTCACTCCCCTCTGAACTCAGATATAAACAAGAAAAAAAAAATTGCCAAAACGACATCGTTTTAACATTCGAGGGATTCGAGCTCGTTCAATTTCGAGCTCTCACGCATTTTTCATTTTTAAAACCTAAATATTTTGGAAGGAGGTGCAACTTTGGGGTTTGTCATCATGATCCCTTTGGAAAGTTCAGATGGCCTTTTAGGGATTTTAGGAAACATTATTTTACTCCTCGTATAGTGTACGGGGAGCAAATATTCCACAGAACCCGTACTCCTTTCGTCTAAGCTCCTTGTCTATCCGATCGACCTGCAAGCACAACGGCGGTGAGCTACCCGGCGGTGTGTTGCCGGAAACCCCTCCGACGGTCAAGTTAGCTCAGAGAGAGAGAGAGAGAGAGAGAGAGAAAGAAACTCAATGAATGTAGGTCTTATCTCACCAAAAATGATGTCCCCTCCAGCATGGGGGACGTAGTCATGCTTTTATACTTTCTGCACTCAAATCTGCTCCCATTAGCCTCTTGACACGTGGAGCTGCTCTCCCATCCGTCAGCACAAATCCAGCAACCTCCACTTAACCAAACCGTCAGACAACATTGACGGGAGCTCGGCAGACCGAAGGCATCACCTCGGTCTCCCACGACTGTGCTGCATAACGTGCCCAAGTGCTCCACCTGCCAAGCTCCATAACAGCCGAGCTCAGTAGCATCCCGGCAGAGCCGAGCTAAAAACAAGTCGAGTCGATGAACAGAAGGCCTTACCCACCGAGCTACACGTGCAACCCATGCAACCCAGGTTGGCAGTCGATCATCTCGGCCAAGCTAGCTCGGTCTAAATGGGGCCTGAGCATCGACCGAGTAAAACCTACTCTGAACAGGCCCACTTTAGCTCGGCCCAAACATGCCCGG